CCTCTCCCTCCTCTGGTTGTGTTTCATTAAGCGGGCCAGACGGACCGACACGCTCGGTCAAGCGTCCGAGCAATTCACCTGTTAAATCTGTGACACAAAGCCATTTATTCTGGACCCAACGACTGCAGCTGTATCACAACACAATCCCACCAACAGTCAGGTGGGGAGCAGGGGAGGAGAGGAGGGAGCGGGGGTAGGATAGTTTGAATCCGGTGTTGCAGAGGATTTAGTCGGAGTGGACAATAAAACAAGGAAACAGAAAACGCCGCGGGCTGTTAAGCGCCGAGGCAGTTTTTGGAAAGCTCGGTTCACAGCAGCGGCTCTGGGCTTCGACCTGGTCGGGACATTTTGCCACTGTCCTCACAGGCAGAACCAAAATAGTACCCTGATCTTTCAACTATGGTCATCCTGTATCTCTGCTTCTAGCAGGCCTATGAACATTCAGATAAACAACCTTTATGGGGAACTTGTTAGGCAAATTGTGGTGGCTCAATAGCACCCCCTACGGGTCATATTACTAATGATGCAAAAACAAAAATTTGGATTAATTAAATTACACACAAACAGTATAAAGAGGTGTGGACTGGGACAAGGCGGCCCACCATGATTGGTCGAAACAGTGCAGATGGCCCAGTTAAATATGCAAAAAATATATCAATTATAACAAATGAAACTATATAAATAAAACCATATGCATCCAAATTATGCATGTTTTAATTTGTTTGATTATTGATGACTTCAGCTGATGAGAGTGAACTGGACTTCTGTACAGTGTTTGTGCTGTTGGTGGATTTTGTTGAGTGAAAGTATTCTGTTATGTACTTGGCACTAATTAGCAGACATCTGTGTAATGCACCTGCACAGTGCATGGAAACAACTTGGTAACCAAGCTGGCTAACAGTGTGAGATAACCTTGAATTAAAATCAAGACTTCAAAATGAGACTTCTTTAACCAGTTAGTGACATCACGGTGGCTAAAACCATCGTTTCTATACAGTCTATGTTTACTATTCTGCCGTCTCCAGCTTTAGAGTGATGCATCATAGAAATCCTTAAGCGCTGGATATCGATACTCAGCTCCAGCTACTCATAGAGGTTGCTGTACTAAAGTTTTCTCTCAAATAAGGTTTAGTGTGGAAGTGCTCGCCGTTTTTAATGCATGAAATACCATCTCTTGTTTGTCTGGAACGTAAATTGACAAACACTTGTGTGGAGAAATAAATTGATTTTTCAGCTCACCTGATTCAAAAGTTTCACCGCAAACAAACTGCATGTTATAACTGAACGTGCTGCTCAGAGTTTTAACTCGGTTTTTAGCGTTAAAGTAAAAATTTAACTCCAGAAATAGAACAGACAAAAGCAGGAATGAGGTCCGACTCCAGGTTTGCAGGTTGTGTTGATTTTCTGCAGTGGAGCGTTGAAGCAGTTTCTAAATAATGATGCAGACTGGTGCGCACCGTTACATTCAAAAGACACTGGGCTGCAGGAAGTGCTGCTGTTAAAACTACATCAGCTCAGTAGGGAAAAGTGGAAGCGCAGAGATGTGATGATAATGAACAAGTTTGCTGAGGTTTGTCGGAGGTCCTGCCTGCACTGACTGA